GGGGGTGTTGGCAGGCACTTACCTGCTCTGCACCTTTTAGTTCAGGCAGCAGAGCACGTGTCTTGCAGCAAATCAACAAGCACATTTATGTAGTAGACATGCAGAGTTGCAAACGGTGCAAACCAGGCACAAGACTAAAGAAACAGAGAATTTTTTGTTTGAAAAAAGTTTTGAACTTTGAATTTTGTAATTTAAGTTCATAACTTCATACACAACTTAAAGTTCAAACTTTGCAGTTCAATTCAGAAAGTCAAAGTCTTCAGACTGGCAGCACTGTCAGTGCTCTCTCTCTCTCTGTCTCTCTCTCTCTGTCTCTCTCTCTCTCTCACACACTCACACACATTCTCATCTTTCTCTCTCTCTCTCTATCATCCTCATCTCTCTCTCTCTCTCTCTCTCTCTCTCTCTCTCTCTCTCTCTCTCTCTCTCCAACGGGCAGCGGGTGCCTTGAAATTGCTCGGGCCTGTGTGAAACCCGCCACCCCAAAAACCTGCAGTGTCTTGTGTCCGGACCTCTAGGCCCTGTCAAGTGGGGTGAAATGACACTGAAAAATCACCCCATTATTTTTTGAGGGGCGGCCAGTACCCGATAAACGTCCTGGGCCGCCCCCTTTTTTTTTATTTTTGTCCCAGGGGCCTCCATCTGGACATCAGGACCAGACACCGGGCACCGGACACTGGACTGTCTGGAACCCTGTCCGGACGTCCGGACGGTTACCATGGAAAATGTTTTTTACGGATTTTTTCAGAATTCGGATTAAAGGAAAAATTCAGTAAAAAATTCGAAAAAACAGTATGTGTACAACATTGCAATGCAAACAACGTTTGCCTGAGGACCTCGGCGGAATTCCCAACCAAATTTGAGATAAAAATAAAAACAATGGCGGTACTACAGGCTTCTGAAAAGTTGTACCCTAAATTCTGAAAAGTTGTACCCTAAAACTCGTTCTATAAGGTACGTACATTGTATTCGAATACAGTGTACCCCGTATGTTGTATTCGTATACAAGGTACGTACGTTTTTTTCGGGTTGAGAAGGTGGGCTCTCAAAATTGCAAAATCGCAAAATGAGAGTCCAGAGTAAATGGACTCGATCTGGCCTCTCATTTTGCGATTTTGTGATTTTGAGGGCCCAGTTCGAGTATAGTCTAAGAGTGAACGCCTTGTGCTCGTAGAATGCGAAGGTGAACAATCAGCCTGCCAGGAGTTTCAGTAGGGGAAGGGACCAAAACATTGTTCAGATTCATTAGCTCCCATGCGCTGCAAGAGATCAGCTGTGTCACAAAGTATCTGAGTGGAAAGGTCGGCAGCACCTCTGTTACAGTCCATCTGGTGACGAGTCGTGGCAGGAAGTGGAGAAGGCTGTGGAGTTCATGCAACCTATCCGTGAGCTTCTAAGGAATGGGGACCGGGGTGGCAAGGTACCCTATCAGTGGGAGGTCTGAAGAAGCTTTGGTGAGGCGAATGGAGGGGATCTGGCGGCTGATGAATGAGTGACAAAGTTTGGTATCAAAGAAGGTTAAGGATGGCTAAAAGATGATGAGACAGCGAGTGCATGCCGCCAACTTTCACCAGAATCCCATGAGGAGGGACCTCATCCAAAATTGGATCAAGTTCCTGGTGTCTCAATGCAGCAAGCAACGTATGGGGGCGACGAGCAGCTGGATCTGTTGGCGGGTCTTAAAGTATATCCTCTAACGAGCTGGGGGGAGAGTTGTGCAAGGCTTGAAAGCTCAGGACAGCTTGTGGACTTGCTTTGCGAAGTACGACAGCTCTCCGACCAAGGACAGTGCATCGGACTGGTGGACCTGCCATGGGAAGGGTCATGTGAAGCTCCAGAAGGTTGCAGTTTGCGTGACAGCCATGTGCTGTACAGCTACCCATGCGAGTAGAACTGGTGCAGCCCTGATGTTGTGCACTCAAACCGACGGATCAAGGTGTCCAGTGAGACTATAAACAAGCTTGTTCATATATCCACTTTAAAATGCCAGTTCACCGAAGTAGAGCAGGGCTTTTACCGGTAACAGCTTTTCGATTCGTGCCTGGGCTAGTAGCCTAGTAGTGAATATGATAGGCCACTTTAAATAGGCACAGTTGCAGGCCCGGGAACGCCATGTCTGCTCAATCCTAAGGTGAAAGCTGCATCTGTTTGGGTGGAGGAAGATGAGTGCAATGGAGATAGGAAGGAGGAGGAGGACGAGGAGGAGTAAGAGGGCGAGATGGAGTTCAGTCTGCACCCACTTGGGGGAGTCTGGAGTCCAGCGAAGACAACGAGGCCGATAGCAATCTTGCAGGGATGCAGCAGACAGGTCACTTGGATAGTGTCCTGGAGTTCTTATGCTCTCCGAGCATCGGCTGCCAACATGGCATACAGGCTAATGATGAGGCTGTGAGAGCTCAGGGGCAGGCCCTTGCACAAAGAGATCGTGCCATTTTAACGCAGGTCGTAGAGAGGAGGCTGTAAGGGGTGTGGCTATTCCTCGCAGCCGTTGGACAAAGGGGAGAAAAAGAGCTTCAGTTATGAACACGAAAGACACCGGCTCCACGAGCGCTTGGAATTGCGACAGCAAGGTGAAAAGTGGAGAGAAACAGGAACAGCATCAGCAACCGCAAGCGAAGGACACAGA